TTAAATGCTGCCATGATTAGCCAGGAATAGGGAAAATTTATTCATACTTACCGTAATTTTCTTTTCCTGGCTATTATTCATGGCAGCATTTGGTTTCCCACCCTCTATTGGATATGCTTCTTGTTACTTGACTGAGGTGTGATGGCTGATGGGGTTCCTATTATACAAGGGGAAGGTATGCTTAATTGTTTAATTGATTGTGTTTCCTGTCCTGAGGGTTAGAGGGAGGAGCTAAACCCATATGTTAAATGCTGCCATGAATAATAGCCAGGAAAAGAAAATTACGGTAAGTATGAATAAATTTTCCCTAGTTCTACAGGTGAGTAGAGCAGATGTTTGTGAAATCAGGAGTGTATTTGTATGGAATGTTGATTTGTGAATGTAAGGGTATAGTTATGTTAAATGTGAATGCAGGGGTGTATTTTTGTGGAGGACATGTGTATGTGAACACATAAAAACATTGGTGTATGTATTCCGGTGTGTTGAAGGCCTGTGTATGAATGCAGGGATAGGTTTGTATGGATTGTCTGTCTGTTTGTGAATGCAGTATGTTTGAACAGTGTGCATTTAAATGTAGGAGTATATTTCTATGTGTCAAACAGAGGGGCTAAAGGTAGCAACAGAAATTATAAAAACAGAGGTGTGTTATAACATATATAGAAATATATATATAATGACAAACAAATAAAAAGCAAAGTTCAAATATAAGTCCAAGTGTGAATCCAAATGGTAAAACTTGCTGGAAGATAAAAGAGTCAGGGTAGTTCCTCTGGAATGGGGTCAGATCAGAGTATTCTTGGCAGCCATATATGTAACAGAAAGATAGAACTAATGGTGCAGATAATCCAAGAATAACATAAAAGTAAATAAAATCAGTGAGAGTGTGTGTGTGAATAAGATGTGTCACTTCCTGTCCCTATCCTCACATACAGCACTGTGCAAGGAGAGCAAAAAAAGGAGACCTGGCACATAGAGAGCAGGGGATGTGATGTCACTTCCTGTACCCATCCTCACATACAGCACTGCGCAGGGAGAGCAAAAAAAGAGACCTGGCACATAGAGAGCAGGAGATGTGATGTCACTTCCTGTCCCCATCCTTACATACAGCACTGTGCAGGGAGAGCAAAAAAAGAGAGCTGGCACATAGAGAGCAGGGGATGTGATGTCACTTCCTGTCCCCATCCTCACATGCAGCACTGTGCAAGGAGAGCAAAAAAAGGAGACCTGGCACATAGAGAGCAGGGGATGTGATGTCTCTTCCTGTCCCCATCCTCACATGCAGCACTGTGCAAGGAGAGCAAAAAAAGGAGACCTGGCACATAGAGAGCAGGGGATGTGATGTCACTTCCTGTACCCATCCTCACATACAGCATTGTGCAGGGAGAGCAAAAAAAGAAACCTAGCACATAGAGAGCAGGAGATGTGATGTCACTTCCTGTCCCCATCCTTACATACAGCACTGTGCAGGGAGAGCAAAAAAAGAGACCTGGCACATAGAGAGAAGGGGATGTGATCACTTCCTGTCCCCATCATCACATACAGCACTGCGCAGGGAGAGCAAAAAAAGAGACCTGGCACAGAGAGAGCAGGGGATGTGATGTCACTTCCTGTCCCCATCCTTACATACAGCACTATGAAAAAAGAGACCTGGCACAGAGAGAGCAGGGGATGTGATGTCACTTCCTGACCCCATCCTTACATACAGCATTGTGCAGGGAGAGCAAAAAAAGAGACCTGGCACATAGAGAGCAGGGGATGTGATGTCACTTCCTGTCCCCATCCTTACATACAGCATTGTGCAGGGAGAGCAAAAAAAGAGACCCGGCACAGAGAGAGCAGGGGATGTGATGTCACTTCCTGTCCCTATCCTCACATACAGCACTGCGCAGGGAGAGCAAAAAAAGAGACCTGGCACATAGAGAGCAGGGGATGTGATGTCACTTCCTGTCCCCATCCTTACATACAGCATTGTGCAGGGAGAGCAAAAAAAGAGACCTGGCACATAGAGAGCAGGGGATGTGATGTCACTTCCTGTCCCCATCCTCACATACAGCATTGTGCAGGGAGAGCAAAAAAAGAGACCCGGCACAGAGAGAGCAGGGGATGTGATGTCACTTCCTGTCCCTATCCTCACATACAGCACTGCGCAGGGAAAGCAAAAAAAGAGACCTGGCACATAGAGAGCAGGGGATGTGATGTCACTTCCTGTACCCATCCTCACATACAGCACTGCGCAGGGAGAGCAAAAAAAGAGACCTGGCACATAGAGAGCAGGAGATGTGATGTCACTTCCTGTCCCCATCCTTACATACAGCACTGTGCAGGGAGAGCAAAAAAAGAGAGCTGGCACATAGAGAGCAGGGGATGTGATGTCTCTTCCTGTCCCCATCCTCACATGCAGCACTGTGCAAGGAGAGCAAAAAAAGGAGACCTGGCACATAGAGAGCAGGGGATGTGATGTCACTTCCTGTATCCATCCTCACATACAGCATTGTGCAGGGAGAGCAAAAAAAGAAACCTAGCACATAGAGAGCAGGAGATGTGATGTCACTTCCTGTCCCCATCCTTACATACAGCACTGTGCAGGGAGAGCAAAAATGGAGACCTGGCACATAGAGAGCAGGGGATGTGATGTCACTTCCTGTCCCCATCCTTACATACAGCACTGTGCAGGGAGAGCAAAAAAAAAAAAGAGACCTGGCATATAGAGAGCAAGGGATATGATGTCACTTCCTGTCCCCATCCTTACACACAGCACTGTGCAGGGAGAGCAAAAATGGAGACCTGGCACATAGAGAGCAGGGGATGTGATGTTACTTCCTGTCCCCATCCTCACATACAGCACTGTGCAGGGAGAGCAAAAAAAAAGAGACCTGGCACAGAGAGAGCAGGGGATGTGATGTCACTTCCTATCCCCACCTCCCATCCTTTGCTGGGAGAGCAAAGAGGAGACCTGGCACAGAGAGAGCAGGGGTATGATGTCACTTCCTGTCCATGCCTCCCATTCTCACACAGAGCGGTGTGCAGGGAGAGCAAAGTGGAGACCTGGCACAGAGAGAGCAGGGGTATGATGTCACTTCCTCTCCCTGCTTTCCATCCTCACACTGTGCCAGAGAGAGATGTGATGTCATTACCTGCCCCTGTCTCCCATCCTCACATACAGTACTGTGCAGGGAGAGCAAAGAAGAGACCTGGCACAAACAGCAGGGGATATCAGGTCAGTAGTCCACGTATGAATCTCACCATGCATGTTACCTATTTTGGTATTATCTCTGGCTCCAACCTTACTGCTCTCCCCACATATGCAGTCTAAATCATGTAACTTTTACCTTGAAACATTACTTGCATTTTCAAACACAATACACAAAGAACTTGTTCATGCACTCATTTCCCACCCCGACTACTGTAACTTACCTATAATTGGTCTCTCCAAACCCGATACTTTCCACCCTATACTATGTAATGCATTCTGCGTCCGGGCTTATCTTCCTCACCAGCCAACCTAAGCTCTATTATACAAGCCCAACTTCTGGCCTAGCAAGTAACGGACTGAATTAACACTACCTCGACGGGGAGACTCGCCACAGTTTTACTTAGTGGTGCAATATAATCCCGTTGAGGTATCTTTGGGTACTCACCCACCCAAATAAGACTTTTTTTTAGACCACAAACAGGGACAAATGATATAGAGAAATTCACCATAGATGGAGTTCTCCAACTTAGATTCCTCCCCATTAATGTATAATTTTTGGCTGTGAAGTTTTAATTTCCATCTTGCATTTTTGTCATTCCTTGATGAGAAGTGGTAATGGGTCTCAAACTACTCTCTAGTGTTCTGTGGAACTGATCTTAACTGGCTCAGGCGGAGCTCATGTTTTCGATTTATATGATACAGTGGTACCTCGGTTAACATAATTTTCGATTTACAAAAAATAATTTACAAATGAAAGTCCATTGAAAATAATGCCTCGATTTACAATTTATTTTGCAATACGAAGCAAGTTTCCCTAGGATGCATTGCGCCTGGGAGGTTTATAGCGCCGCCCCCGTGCATGCTGAAGTCTTTGTGTAGCATGTGGCATAGAGTGTGGAAGTGTTGGAGCGGTTTTTGCATCAAGTTTTGGAGCCATTCTGGAATTTTTTTGCAGCGGTTTTGGGACTTCTTTAAGGGCATTTCTCAAGCGGTGGAAAGGTAGGGAGCTGAGCGTCGTCATTTGCTTGCCTTTTACTATGTGTTCTGCATTGAGGGTTGGTTTTCATGCCAGCTCATTTTGACTTATTTTTTTCTGACCTCCAGGACGGATTACGACGTTTTCGCAATAAGAAAAGTCCAGGAGAACACATTAAATTCGTAAACCGAGGTACCCGTGTATTTCGAATATTGTGTACCATTGCGAGGTATTTGTTGGTAAGCATCATACCTCTCCCCTATATGACCCTTTCCCTGTCTGGCCTATCCCAACCTTTGCCCTATTCCTCCCTTCCCAAGCCCCACTAACCAATGTAATATGTACCATCACTGCTCTCATTCCATCAGGCAGATGGTGCTTAGACATCTCTCATCTCACTTACCTGGTTCTTTTAAATATATCTGGCCATTTCCCACGGAATAGCTACCTTACACACTGGGAACAGGTAAGGGAAGACTTTCTCAAATCCTGTCTCCTAAGTACCACAGAAACATCTACCTGACCTCAGTCTAAAACATAATCTTATCCTCTTCTTTCCCTTCCTCTTCACCCCTTTTCTCTTCCCTTGCTTTCGCCATTTCTCAATGGCAAAAATCCACACTATAAATTCAAGAGGCCTGAATTCCTCAAATAAAAAAGCACAGGTGTTACATGAGCTCAGGGCTCACACACACACTTTTTGTTGGAGTAACATTTTAAGTAAGAATATCCTAAAATGAACCCACTGATAGTTAACCTTGCATAAAACATTAAATATATAAAAAGTTGCAAATAGTAGAATATGGATACCAAAAATTTAATCATACAATGTCGAATGAGTCACAGCCTTTATTTAAAAAATAATAGAAGTTATATACACATCTATAAACATATCACATTTAATCCTACATGATGATAATATGACTGAATTAAACATAAATCCAGCATAGTGCAATTTTATAAACTTTTTCAACGTGGATCACTTTGGTTCACAAACTTGCTACAAGTGTTGGCAACATACATCTTTTGGACTGTGCACAAAAAAAAAAATAAAATAAAAAAAAAAAATAATTGTTTTTAATACATGTTCCTTTTGAAGGATTCAATAATAGATGCACCATAAGTATTAAAACAAATATATATATTTACAATGCTTTCCTATGGACGCTGGCGTCTTCTCACTGTGTTTTTCATAGTGAGAAGCACGCAAGCACCTCTAGCGGCTGTCAAGAGACAGCCACTAGAGGCTGGATTAACCCTAACATAAACATAGCAGTTTCTCTGAAACTGCTAGGTTTATAAAAAAAAAAAAAAAAAAAGAAGGTTAACCCTAGCTGGACCTGGCACCCAGACTACTTCATTAAGCTGAAATGGTCTGGGTGCCTATAGTGGTCCTTTAAGCACTATGGGATCTATCTACTAAGTAAGTTCAATGGAACACTGCAACTTTTAGGTTATGGTAAAAGATTTTACTAGTCTGAATTATGCACCACTTCCTATTACAAGCATCAATACAATTTTAATGCATTGATGGGTTTGGCCTCACTAATATGCTGTGTTTTTGAATCTCAAAAATATGATGTTGTTTTGGTGCTCATAGTGTCCATAACTCTGCAAAGATCACATTTGGAAACAGATGTATTAAAAAAAAAATTATAATAAAAATAAAAATGCCGTTTTTGGTTTTAATAAAAAAAACCAATACCTCAGGGTGTCTTTAGCATAAAAATATATAGCGTCTGCAGAAACACAAATTAAATAAATTTGTTGGCAGCTTGCCATATTTGCATCCATCTTGCAGCAAGAGAAGATTTCCAAAGCGATGCTCCATTGCATAAAAGTAATATATGTAAAGGCAATTTCACAGGTAAGAATACAATTATATTTAAAACACACAGAAATGGAGTATTAAAAGAAACAAAAATCAAATCACACATAAAATTGTACCAGTTATTGCTGAATTTTGTTGTCCATACCAGCGGCAAGCTCATAAAATACCGCAGAAGAGAGCCACAGTAAGAGCACAAAACTGGTGTTATGTATCATCGAACGCATTGTTTCCAATAAATTATATATATTAAAAAAAAAAAAAAAACCTAATAGGGAATCGTTCATTGAAAAATGTAAAACATGCATAATCCCACAGCATAGCAACGTAAAGCATATTACTATTTTCAGATTTTTGACAGTTTTGGGGTTGTTTTTTTTCACCAAATCTTGTCCTCCAGCTACTGAAAAGGATAGTCTATTAAACCAAATGCGATATGAATTAATGGCTGCAGGAGGGCCCCTCAATGAAAGCCCTGATTTTACACTGCAAGATGAGGAATATGTAAAAAATATTAAAAGAAAAGAAAAGTAGATTCCCTTTATGTTTAACACATTGCACTTAGAATCTAAAATCCCGCTAATACACACTGAAATTGGTCTAGATGTAAATAGATTCATATTGAATAGTTTGTGCTCACCCATATAACAGAATGTTTCAAAAGAACTTTTACATTTATTTTTTTTTTTTTAATGAAGTGACAAATTCACTTTTCTTTTTACAAGGCAATCACAGACTGCAAATATTAATAAGGCTGTAAGGAAAGCCATAGATGAACAAAACAAAATACTTGAACAGGCGGAAAACTGGCTTTTGTGCATTAGGTAATCTAACTACGTGGCAACCCAATAAAAGTATTGGGAATCGTGGCAAATAAGTTCTGACCGCCCATGTGACAGACATATTGCATTCCAGCACTTTGAAGAACACCAATTATTAGCCAAGATCTACCCCCCGCCCCCAAAGTATTTAAAAAAATAAAACACAGAACAAAACCCTGAATATCTGTTTTACTTGGATGGATAATTACAGCAGCGGATATTTAAAAATGAACAACTAGCTTGTGTTTTTAACTTTTTTGTTCAATAAAGTGCACTAGTTTTGCTGAAACTGAGCTGGTTTTCCTTACACGTTTATACTTTGTGGCAGAATACCAGTTTTCCGCTGGGTTTGTTACAATGGAATAGCGCAAGTTTGCAGACGTCATATGCAATATTTCCATTTTAATGCCTACAGCCTTATATTTTGGATAATTAACACACTCCTATTAAATTCCACTTCACCCTTTGTTTTAAAGCACCTTGCACCCACAATTAGCTCTAATAGGACAGAACACTTCAAGACTCCATACTACATTGACCCTGCAGGTTGACATAATACTGGTTCGTAAAGATGTCAAGCAGCTTACTCCACTTAATGCAAGCCATCGTCCTGCTGTCTGATAAGCTACACCTGTAGCAATTACGGATGCTGCAAAATGTAGCAATGTTCCATTCAGCTTCATTTCTGCCACAAGGAAAAAATAAAGTAAAAATGATCGTATGTCATCTGGGAAGCCAAACATTCTTTCACACCATGAAATGCAAAATTCAGAGATGAACAAGCAACAGTCGTCACGTTTAGTTTGCAGCTGCAACATGTGTGGGTTATCATTGACCCAGTGCATGCTTTTCCCATTGTCGGTATTCGCTTCTCCTGGCGTAGTGACACGGATTTCAGGTGCCCTTCTAGTCTGTGTGGGATTTTTCTGTGGGACCCTGAATCAAAAATCAGAAATGGAGGGTTTTAGGAGCAGAACATTAAGTTAGGAAAACAAGTTCTTTAGAATATGCCTGCGTGTGTAATACACACACACACACACACACACAAAAACAAAAATTGGAAGTTGTGCATGAAATAAAATTACCATTGCCAACTGCCGCCCAATGTTGCCAACAGTTACACCTCCTGAGAAGAATATGCACGGCAGCCAAGATCGAATGTACAAGAAGTCTGGAGAAGTATACCTAAAGTTATAGGATAAAATAAATAATTATAAAAAACAATTTGAATTCATGGAGTAATGAAAAAAATAAGAAGTGCAATGTACCATGTGCTACTGTTTTATTTCCAACATGTATGAAGTATAAAAAGAATAAATAAATAAAAAAATGTAGAAAAAAAACAAAAAACAGCTCAGTGGTTTGCAATTACTCATTTAAGAAAGAAAGCATGTCTTTCCATAGACTGCCACTTGGTGGCGCTCTGCCATTATCACATGTTCGAGTTACTAGTGATAATGCTTGATCCTAAACTAACATTGTTCATAAACACAGTGCATGGCTTCTTATGCTTCTACACTTTTTTTTTTTTAGAACTCTGATACATTATTTTCCTGGCTTCAAACAAACCCAGGCTGGTTCCTCGATTTGCATTAAAGGACCACTATAGTGGAAAAAATTTGCATTAAAGGACCACTATAGTGCCCCCACCCTCAGGGTCCCCCTCCCGCCAGGCTGGATGGAGAGGAAGGGGTTAAACTTACCTCTTTCTCCAGCGCCGGGCGGGGAGCTCTCTTCCTCCTCCTCTTTGGCTGAATGCGCGGCAGGAGCTGCGCGTGCATTCAGCCAGTCCATAGGAAAGCATTCACAATGCTTTCCTATGGACGCTGGCGACTTCTCACTGTGATTTTCACAGTGAGAAACGCGGAAGCACCTCAAGCGGCTGTCAAGAGACAGCCACTAGAGGCTGCATTAACCCTAACAAACATAGCAGTTTCTCTGAAACTGCTATGTTTATAGAAAAAAAGTTTAACCCTAGATGGACCAGGCACCCAGACCACCTCATTAAGCTGAAGTGGTCTGGGTGCCTAAAGTGGTCCTTTAAGGGCTAGAAGAAACTGGTTGGGTTGGAAGCATACTCTTGATTAGTTATGTGGAAGCATTGAACCATATATCAATATGCAAACCCTTGCGGTAACACACTTTAAATATCTAAGAAAAGTAACTTACTGGTACACTCCGTTGTAGACAAGGAACTGCGTGATGAGTGTTGCAAGAAAGGCTATTGTAATTCCAAGCCCAAGACCACTCCGGGAACGGTCAAATGTCCACCACAAACCCAATGACAAGGCAGCCAGTGTTAGAGACAGCTGAACATTATTGGCGAAATCAAGTTTCTAATGGAATGATTAGTGAAGGAAAAAATAAAGTAACCACGTGGAGCAGAGGCGTAACTAGAAACCACCAGGCCCCGGTGCGAAAATTACCCTGTCTTTGCTATCCCACAACCCCTCCATGTGACTCTCCTCACCTATGTGTGTGACAGCCACACACAGACTCACACATTCTTTTACTTTTTTTAAGCCCATCCAGCCTCCCTACCTTTGGAAGAGCTGGTTTGGGTCTTCTCCATGGGGCTGTGGTGTGAAAGTTCCTCTCTCCACCTGCACGCTGTTTAGTATGCCGGGACCGGAATGACGTCATATTCTGGCTCTTGGCATTACAGCGGGTGAGCGAGGAACTGTCAGACCAGTGCTCCCTCGCCACCGAATGCCTCCTGCCCTCCCCTAGGTACATATCGGCAGACTAGGCACCTGCCATCCAGTTAAGCAGATGCCTACTCTGCCTCACTCTATAAGCGCTGATTCAGGGGTGCCCTAGGTGGGCCCCCTGTGACAGTGCTCCTCTAGGCCGCCCACAGTTGCAGCGGTCAGCAGGGCGACCGGGCCCATCCTGGAGTGACGGCCCGGTCGTGGCTGCAACCGTGGTAGTTCCACCATTATCAACATATCCTATTCACGATTCTTACCACGTTTTTTATAGAATCGCAAAACTTTAAAGGTTGGAAGAAAAGAGATTATATCCTACACATAATCTATGAGAAGATAGGAAAAGGGAGTAGAGACTCAATGGAGACTTCAGGGATTTTTAGCAGTTGCAAATCAGCCCTGCCAAGGGGTCACTCTCTTCTTTCTACTATATGAGAGAAGCAGTAAGTCACCTGGTTTGTATTTTGCAATTTATTTTTATTTAGTTTGTTCCTTAGTAGAATTAGACAATTGGGCATTATTTTCAAAATTAAAAAGCAGTACCGGCAGTCTCCTGGCTGCAACCACTCCTCCTCTTCGGAGATCATTCATCCAGATGATGTCTGGTGCTATTTAATACTTACTTTTTCTCCAAAAAGGATCCTGGTCTCTTCTACCCCCAACTGGCTCATACATGCTTAATCCCATTTGGCAACACAGAAAGCAATTATCACTAATGATACCAGGAAGCTGGCTGCAATGCCATTATCACTCATATAGTTCATACACTTATCCAACAAGTCAAAGGTGCGGTTGCTATAGAAGAAATCATGGCAATTGCAGTACATGTGCTGAACTTGCTGTGATGGTGAGTTGGAGAACACCTGTAGGAGGGTTCTCCTAGTCTTCATGTCAATTATGAGCATAATGGGCCCAGGGAATTTTAAAACTCATTCTACTCTGGTAATGTTAGACAATTTTCTTAAAGGGACTTTATAGGCACCCACATCACTTCTTCTCAATAAAGTTGTGTGGGTGCCATATTACTGATGTTTTAACCTGCAACTCAAACCACTGTCAGTTTGCAGAAGCTGCAATATTTTCAGTGCAGGGTTTAAAACGCCTCTGGTTGCTGTCAGGTAGACCAAGAGCATTTTATAGGTGCAGCACTGTTTTGCCATACATGCATGGAGTCCCCCTAAAGATGGTGTGCATATATATTCAAAGATGCATCCATTACCAGTCCATAGAGCGGTGTTCTAGTAAAAAAATAAAAAAATAAAAATAAAAAAAAAAACACAAACAACCACCAATAAAACTCAGCTCAACAAATGGTTTATCGTCAAGACACATTTCCTCCTCAGACATATACTTTAAAATGCCACTACACTTTATAACCTTCTTGTTTTTTTAGAGAGTCTGAAAAGATATTAGATTGTACTTCTTAATGCTTGGCATTAATTTTGATCAGTTTCAAACAAATGAAATGGACTGTAAAATTGATTCAGGTAATATTTAGTTACAAAGGATACAGCACTTGCGTGGTTAATGCCAACAAAGACTGCAATGCACCGCATGACGCTGGCCCACTCTCGCTTGAATTTGTGAGGTTCTCCAATACGGCTGTCAATACAGGGGTACAGCAAACCCACAACAGCTGTAAATTGAAACACAGGTTAAGCACATGGACTGAATCCAGTTTCACAATTACATACAGTGTTCTCTACAGACATTTGTAACACTTAAAGGGACACCGTAGGCACTGTATCTGCTTCATCTCATTAAACTGGTTATAGTGTCTGGAGTCCTCTGGTACCATCATTTCTTTCAGTATTAAACAGTTTTTAAACTTTTAATGTTTTAATGCTAAACAAGAGTCCCCGGCAATCCATCCCCTTTATGCTGCTTTGGCTAATAAGAAAGTATTAGCCTGAGCAGCAATAGGCAGCTGTGATTGGCTGAGAATGTCAGCTGACTGCTTTTAGCCTGTCAGAGTTCCAACTGACGGTATGAATGGGTATGACAACAAGGAAGTGTGTAATCTCTGCCTTAGCTACACATACTGAAGGGGCCGGACTGTGGGTGGCCAGGGACTCTTATTTTGTGGCATACTGCACGAACATGGTGCCACACTGAATGGAGGGACAGTGCCAGGGCACTCCAGGCACTATAACCAATTCAAAAGAGATGAAATGCTTATAGTGACTACAGTGTCCTTTTAAACTTGCCCAGTGTTCATGGAATTTATGTCTTCTGTTACAACCATGATCCCATTTTATATTTTTGCAGTTGTAATAAAAAATGAATACCATATAGGTAACTGTGCACAAAACGTGTAATCAGGCTATAGGCCATTATTATATTAAATTATATATATTAATTACACACCAATTATGCATAGTTTGTGCTTTGCAAAAATTGGAACTCCAGGGAAACAAGACAGACAAACTTAACCAATTCCCTGTTTCTACAGTCTCGTATATTGTGTCACACAAAAAAAAAAAAAGTAGGAAACAAAAAACACTTTCCTGGTCAAAGTGAAAGGGTGAGGGGGTTAAAATAACCTGGTATTATAGACTATTACACACACAGAAACTTTAAAAAGTTAAACAGCATTTCAGAATAAGCAGGGATCCTTTAGGACTGTATTTGGCAAGTACAACTTTAAATTTACTTTAATACACCCAAGCACAAAGAATCTATTTAATTCTATAGTGTGTACTACAAGATATTGGTTTACAGAATATCTCTTGCTCCCTCCAAGAATGCTTAAGACAGACTCGATTAGACCAGGATTAATTAATGGAACAGTAATAGGACAAAGAATGCATTTATTGACACCGCTGGGAAGCTCTCTTCATTAATGATAAGCTTGTAGCTTTGAATGAACTCTCTCATAGCTTTCAATATCTGACGCTCAGAGCTTTAAGTGAAGACAGAAGTGACTGGTCTCAGCAGTTTTTGATTACTTCCTTATTTCGCATTTCGGGATGTGTGGTATGTTAAGTGAGAAAGCCAATAAGGGCAGAGCCAGACAGCTCACCAGTTTAGGAGTAAGCCAATCACCAGACGTGTGGCTTAGAAAAACATTTCACTTGCTATCTATGCCAAGCAGGCGTCTGCAAACAGAGGGAACTGTTAAACCAGATACAGCAACTCTGTAATAGCTGCAATAAGAGCCAGGGCTTCACCCCTCCTATGCCCCGTAAAAAGATTCCAAACTTACAGCTATGGTAACTACAAGTTACAGATAAGAGTAAGGTTCTCTGCAATACAAGTAAATCATTACAATCTCTCTTTAAGACATCACCATATAGAATATTCTAACTAACAAGGGCTACAGGTATAATGAGAAGTTGACGTATCCCTTACTGTCAGATTTGTCCAGTAAAAAAAGTTTTATGTTATGCAAACATCTGGTTGTCACAGGACTAACAATGTAGTCAGACAGCTGGATCACAGCTGAACAATTTATATTAAAACATCACATTTTGGGTGCAGATTCCTTTGTTACACATATCTGCCATGTAAACCCCTCCAACCATCTAGTTAACCATTGCTTGAGTCTAGTGATAACCAATGCTGGACTCCCACATTTGTAAAGTAGCATTTCCCATAATGCTATTTAAGCAGTACTGTTGTCAGATACAAATCTGCTAAATCAGTTATTGACCAAGCTATAGTAATTTTGACCTACATTTTGCTAAAGAGTGACATGTACAAGATAAGGGATAAGATAAGGGATATCTTTCAACTTCCATACAAAACTACAAGCTTATCATTAATGATGACAAATACATGAGGGATTTCACCAATGTAAAACTCTATGTAAGATTACTTTTATCTGTAGTTTTTAATAGAACATATATTTCCCCAAACATAGGTAATTTTGTTATAGAAATTACCCATGTGTATATTAGAGATCCATCAAAATAAATGCATACAACACAAGAACATTGTATAAAAGAAATCAGTTAAAGGGACACTATAGTCACCTGAACAACTTTAGCTTAATGAAGCAGTTTTGGTGTATAGAACATGCCCCTGCAGCCTCACTGCTCAATCCTCTGCCATTTAGGAGTTAAATCCCTTTGTTTATGAACCCTAGTCACACCTCCCTGCATGTGACTTGCACAGCCTTCCATAAACACTTCCTGTAAAGAGAGCCCTATTTAGGCTTTCTTTATTGCAAGTTCTGTTTAATTAAGATTTTCTTATCCCCTGCTATGTTAATAGCTTGCTAGACCCTGCAAGAGCCTCCTGTATGTGATTAAAGTTCAATTTAGAGATTGAGATACAATTATTTAAGGTAAATTACATCTGTTTGAAAGTGAAACCAGTTTTTTTTTTCATGCTGGCTCTGTCAATCATAGCCAGGGGAGGTGTGGCTATGGCTGCATAAACAGAAAAAATAATTTAACTCCTAAATGACAGTGAATTGAGCATTGAAATTGCAGGGGAATGATCTATACACTAAAACTGCTTTATTTAGCTAAAGTAATTTAGGTGACTATAGTGTTCCTTTAAAACAGGAACATATTAACATTGAGTTGACCCAAGATAGACAGATTCAACATAAAAAGCTCACATTATGTGCATGAATTTGCTGCACACAGTGAGCTCTCAAACCAGGATCACAGTGTATAGCACTGATAAGCATATTCACTAATCAGTGGTTCATGGGTGGTTTCCAAGAACTGTAGTACAATTTTCAGAGTTCTACTTTACATCATTAACTGCTGAACTACAACTCCTGGGAACGCCAATTATATGATAATATAGTGGGCAGTATTTTGGGGATAAATGTATTGCAGGTTAAGAGTGATGGGCAGAAGGCGGGAGTTATGACGCAAAACTATTACAGTATTAAAATTAGCCACCCAGAATAACTATGAGTACTGAAATTGTAGTTGCCTTAAGTGCTCCCTTAAACAGGTAGTCTAATATAATACTTACCAGCTGCAGTGCCACAACATGGAGGAACCCACCATGCTGATGAGAAAATTGTAGCAATCACTTCCTCGGGAAACAGAGTCACGTTTCTTTGTATTTGTAATAAATTGAGGACTAAAGCCAGGAACACACCAACTGTAAAGAGAACCAGACTGCGCTGGATTAGATTGCGGCCTTGACTGCTGACTAGAGTACTGTAGGCAAGACCAATTAGGGAATTAAGGGAGGACATGGCTTCTCCAGCTCTGCGTGTCAGCCAGATGCTGATCTTTTTGTTGTTTTTGTCTCTTCTAGTGCAAGAGCAACTCCAACAGTGCTCCTCTAATCTTGGCATTTGTTTACTGCGGAGTTACTGCAGATAAGAAAAAGAAAAAACAAAACTCACGTTATACAAAACCTGATTAAAAATAATATATTTTTCAAATGTGTTGTTAACATAAGATTGAAAATTTAACACAACTTTTATTTACCCATGACCCAGTTCACCTCTATATGTCCTAACTGTCCCGGATGCAACAAGCAGGTCCTGTTTGGGAACCCTGGCCAGCTGCCTTAGGTTTTTGTCTATGTCTCCCATTTCTGAAGACAGAGAAAAGTCTCTTTAAAAAGTGCTGCACCAGTGAAATCGGTAAAGGAGGGTGCACTGGGCAAGGCTAAACCTATGACTAGGGTTCCAGTGAAGAGTTGGATTTGGAGTCAAGATCAAAACTGATTTTGTCAATTTTTATTTCAATCTTGTGTCATTACAGATCAATGCTAAAGACATTCAAAACTCACACTGGCAAACTCAAAGCTTGGGGATTACGCTACCAATAGGTCAAATTAAACCTCTCGCTGTACAAAGCAACCTGTATCACTTTACTTTATGAAAATGTTGTGGCATGTAAATATGCATGTCTTTAACAGAATAACTTTACATGGGAGGATTCTAATGTTACAGACTAGACAGGCAGATAAGAGAATCTGACACCAAAGATATCACACAATGTAGCACATTACCCACTTTCAGTGTATGACCTTGGAAAACTCCAGTTACCTATGAGCATTAACTCATTCAGTGGCACAGTTTCTTCTTGAATTGTGTGTCCTTGCATACCCTAACACAGCACCAGAGTGCTCTATGGTATTGTACTTTCACATGCCAACCTATTTCTGTTTCTCTACAATGTTATTAAACCTCCTACCACAAGATGGCATTACTAATCTGGATGCCAAGATTTGTTATTTTTTTTTTTTACACAGATCACTATGCCCCAATTGCCATATTACATTAGGGTTCTCTGAACACCGCCATACATTACTATAAAAAAACACAATGTCACTAAGCAAAGCCTATGATTATTTATGAAGCACATACATATTCCATAGCATTGTATGACGGATATATAAGACTTAATATGCTGATATTCCATGTTTAACATTGCCATTTGTGTATCCTTACTCTACTTCCTTTAAGTTGTTAAACTAACTCACTACCTCTGGTTCACACAAATCAAACTTGTCTTGCTCAGTTTTCTTTTAACTGCATATAGCTTGAGAGGAACAATGAGCACAAAAAGTAGATGTGGCAGGGAAAACAAATTAAATTATTAGATGTCCTATTTACTTAGCAACAACACCATCATACTTCATGCCCCTCTGCTGTCCTATGCCATCCGGAACCACCAGCAGTACTGTCACACTAAATACTTTTTTTTTTTTTTTAAATCAACTCAGCGTACCATAAATCCCTCCAGCAGGGTTACCAATGTCAATCTCTAAGTCATCTGATCTTCTGTACCAACCAAAAATACTGTCTCAGTACATAACCCCCTGTTATCTGATTTCTTATAGCAAACTCCTAAGAAGGCCAATACCACCATGCCCATTATTCATATGGCAGCACTCCTTACCCCTACTGTACCCACCATCAGCTTTGAAATGCTCCATGCCCAATTTCTATTCCCAGCAGTACTGCCACACAAAATGCAACTTGTACCCAGCACTATGACCCTCTCCCCATGCCCTTTATACCCAGCACCATTAACCCCTCTCTCAACGACCGCACACTCCATGCCCCCCTGTACCCAGAACCATTAACCCATCACTCCATGCCCCCTGTACTACTTACCAGTCACCCCATATACTCTGTGTACCCAGTACTATTACTCACCCCATGCCCCCTGTACCCATCACCCACCCCACACACCATTAACCACTCACCCCAAGCCCAGTCAGTGCCCCTTGTACCACGTCCCACTCCTCCATGCCCAGTCAGTGCCCCTTGTACCAAGTCCCACTCCTCCATGCCCACTCAGTGCCCCCTGTACCCATGCCCACTCAGTGCCCCTCTCCCCATTCAGTGTCCCCTGTACCCATCCCCCCATGCCCAGTCAGTGCCTCCTGCACTCTGCCCCCTCTCTCCCATCTAGTGTCCCCTGTACCCATGCCCCTCTCCCCATGCCCAGTCTGTGCCTCCTGCACCCTCTCTCCCATCTAGTTCCCCTGGTACCCATGCCCCTCTCCCCATGCCCAGTCAGTGCCCCCTGTACCCTCTCTCCCACTGAGTGGGATATGTACCCTGCACTCTGTGTCCCCTGTACCCATCCCCTCTCTCCATGCCCACACAGTGACCCTGTACCCTGCACTCTCTGTGTCCCCTGTAACCTCTCCATTCAGTGCCCCCTGTACCCATCTCTCCATACCCATTCTGTGTCCCCTGTACCCATCCCCTCACAGTGCCCCCTGCCCCCTCTCTCCCACTCAGTGCCCCCTCTCTCCCACTCAGTGCCCCCTGTACCCATCTCCCATGCCCACTCAGTGCCCCCATGCCCAGGCAGTGCTCCCTGTACCCCTCCCCCATGCCCAGTCAGTGCCCCCTGTACCCTCTCTCCCACTGAGTGGGATATGTACCCTGCACTCTGTGTCCCCTGTACCCATCCCCTCTCTCCATGCCCACACAGTGACCCTGTACCCTGCACTCTCTGTGTCCCCTGTAACCTCTCCATTCAGTGCCCCCTGTACCCATCTCTCCATACCCATTCTGTGTCCCCTGTACCCATCCCCTCACAGTGCCCCCTGCCCCCTCTCTCCCACTCAGTGCCCCCTCTCTCCCACTCAGTGCCCCCTGTACCCATCTCCCATGCCCACTCAGTGCCCCCATGCCCAGGCAGTGCTCCCTGTACCCCTCCCCCATGCCCAGTCAGTGCCCCCCTGCCCAGTCAGTGCCCGGTGCTGTACCCACCAGCTGTGTGCAGTCAGTGGAGGATCTGTTCAGGTTACAGACAGGCTGTGTGGTAATGATTGATTTAATCCCAATGTCAGGATTTCCTGTCTCCCTCCGCCGCTCTATGTCCCTTTATAGGGGGGGACTAGCCAGGACAGCCAGACTCCGCTAGCCCCTCCCTCGGCCCCGCCCCCCAGTCAATCAGACAGCGGAGGGAGCTGGGAAACAGAATGCCTTCCGCAGCTCTGACTGAAAACAACATGCGTGTCTGGTGAGGCCCCGGCAGCCAATCAGCGGCGGGCTGCCCATATGACGTCGCAGACACACCACACACCTTCCCCTCACGTTCTCTCTGCCAGAAATCATAACAACCAACGGCGGCTGGCATGGAGGGGCGCGCGCGCGCGGGAGAGTGAGGGGTGCGCGCGCAGCCACAAAACTCCCGCCACTCAGCCAGCTGCCAGTCACCGGCCCGAGGGCCATTGACCCCCTGTACCTCACACTGTCCTGTGCTCAACCTAGAGCCAAAAATAACCCCTGGGTGTCATTAACCCTGACTGCCCTAAACTGACAGGAACTGCCACATAAATAACATAATCAATCATATAGTTATCATTAATATCACATAAATACCATAATCAATAAATATTTATTATTAATATCACATAATCCATGTTTATCATTAATATCACATAAATACCATAATCAATCCCATAGTTATCATTAATATCACATAAATACCATAATCAATAAATATTATTATCACATAATCAATCCATATTTATCATTAATATATCACATAAATCCCCAAATCAATCCATGTTTATAATTAATATCACATCAATCCCATATTTATCATTAATATCACATAATCAATCCATATTTATCATTTATTTCACATAAAGCCCAGACTCAATCCATAGTTATAATTTATTTCATATAAAGCACGCACTCCATCCCATATGTATCATTGATTTCACCTTTTACAATCTGGATTTCAGTTCTGTCCCATATCCGGTGGCCATACATGCCAGCAATGCCCGTATAGGCATGGCAATATATTCGTAATGACCTGTATTGTTATGTGTTTTTATCTACTATTTAAAGATAACAGTCATAGTTGTGTACAGTTTGTATTTATATTACCGTCTCCCACTTTTGTTCCCCCTTCCCCCTTTTTTATGCGTCTTCCTTGTTATTTTATTGTATATGTTTTTTGTTTTTTTTAAAATAAATATATATATATATATATATTATGTTATTTTTAACATTGATATAACTTTAAATAAAAGAATTTGAAAAGGGATTGGCAGGGCAGTCCTGAGTTTGGGCTCCTAGCCTGCCATTCTGGGCTACCATTCGGGTGTCTCCAGGAGAACCTTAAGCAACACAGCAGATGCATTGGCAATGTGCAAACTAAACTCAGGGTGTAGAACGCTACAATACTACTCTGCCTAACGTGGGTTCCATCATGTTTCTACTTCTTTCTGACATACTTTCCGACATAAGGAACACTTTAATTGTGGTGATGTGGCCAGGTGTGGGGTAGAGACATTTTAGGTGACTAAAAGGTAATTTAGAACAACGACACGGTATCTTCTTTACACAGATGTATTTTTAAAGACATTTATTTTAGTTTAAAGATACTACTACTACATAGATTCCCTAAAGACTTCATTCGCTTCAGCACCCGTCCTGATCCTACTCATCCTTTTCTGTTAGAAGTGAATGCTTCTGAAAGAGGTGTTGGGGCTTTCCTCTCTCAAACACCGTTATCAGATTAACCCCTTCACCACGGTGGTTTTTATTCTAGAAAGTTTTCTGAGACGGAGAGGCGTTATTATATCAGAGAGAATTGCTGCCCATAATATCCACTTGGCAACACGTGCTAGAAGGCTACCCTACTCAAATTACCACAGTTACTTAGCACAAAAACTTGTCATATTTTGGGGAAGCTAAAAGATTAACACACAGACAGGCTCTTTGGTCTCTTTTCTTATCTCATTTTAATAACTTGGTGACGTATTGACCTGGTTCCAAAGATACTAAAGCCGATGCTTTTATCCAGTCAGTGCAAACCTCAAACTTCAACAGAATCTCAAATTCCCTCTATTATACCTAAATAATGTAGATTGAAATATTGGAAAGCAAACAAGACCAAGCACCACGGCAAACCCGCAATATAAGTTATACGTTCCCCAGGAACATGAAGGAACTGTACTCAATCTAATGCATGATAGTAAAATAGTTGGATCCCTTCCTACCTCTCAGTTTTGGTGGCCTTCATATATATAACAGATGTTAGAGATTATGTACTAGCATTTCTAACTTGTGCTGCAAATAAAACTCCACCTACTCTACCCTCTGGATTACTCCAGCCATTACCAATTCCGAGCAAATCATGGTCAAGTCTGGCAATGGATTTTATAGTAGATTTACCGATAACAGAAAACAAGATGGTAATTTTAACCATCATCAATAGGTCTTCAAAAATGCTTCATCTGATACCTTAAACAAAATTGGCAACCTCTTCAGATTTGGCTACATTTTTTTTACCAGAGAGGTTGTTTAGATACATGGACTGCCTGGAGAGATTTTTTCTCAATTTATCTCCTGCTTTTGGAGGACCCTTTGTAATCAACCAGGTATCAATTGAAGTTCCTCCTCCTCTTATCATACGCAATCGAATGGTGCTGCAGAAAAAATGAACCATAGTCCAGATCAATTCTTGCGTTGTTTAATTTCTAATCACCGAGACAACTGGGCTGGTTTAGTCTTTTGGACAAAATTTCCTCACAATAATAATGTACGTGAATCTGCCCAACATAGTCTGTTTCATTTAAATTATGGTTTGGATCATGTTATTCTTCCGACATCCTTCTCTTGTCAAGAAATGCCAGTCATTGAGGAGCGTTTGGAAGAAATGAGAGAGACATGGGTTGGAGTGCAATAAATCCTGATGCAAAAGGTATCTCTCCAAAAGAAAAATGCTGATAGACATCATACTGCAGCTACTGTATATGTGGAGGGTGATAGGGCCTTGTCGAGTACTAGGAATATCAGATTAAAGATTCCTTCTATGACGTTCACCCCCCCTTGTTACATTGGACCTTTTAAGTTCATAGATGGGTAAACCCTGTGTCATATAAATTGCTCTTGCCTTCCACTTTACGTATACCAAATACATTCCATGTTCCTTTGCTGAAGCCATTACTTTGTAACAGTTTTACTTAAGTGGTCCCGCTGCCTTCCTTTCTTCAAGTGGAAGGTCAAGGGGAGTACGCGCTTAAGTCCCTTCTGGACTCTAAGTTTTTTCTTACGGTAAACTCCAGTATTTGATTTATTGGAAAGGTTACGGTCCAAAGGAGAGGTCTTGGGTTGATGCTCCTGATGCTCATGCACCACGTTTGCTCTGATCTTATCATGTTCGTTTCCCTGAAAGGCGTTCTTTTTCCCACCCTGTAGAGCGCTTTATGCTTTACTCAATGCTTTACTGTAATAAGGATTAACTTTCACCAAAATTAGATTTTCCACTTTTCAAAGAAATAGAAAACCTGTTTCATGGTATATGGGAAACTAAGCTGCTATATGCTAATACTGGTTTCACAAAAACAATCCCAGCCAAATATCAAATTTGATTTAAAGGAGCACTCCAAGAACCATTCCTACTGCAGTGTGCTCTAGTGCTAATGGTGTCAGGTGTACCCTGGTACTCGGTCATTGTTGGCTATTAGAACTGTTTTAGAATATTTTTACTTCTTAACTGGGGTCCACCAGGCACCGTCCACGCTTTCACTGCATGTACAGAAGCCCGGGTGCTCCTGCTAAGTGCAGGGCTAGCTCATCGGCATACAGCGTCAGCTACCTATTGGAATTATTTACCAGTGTCCCCGTTCTCAAATTATTATACAGCGTAAACTGCCTATTGGCATTATTCACCAGTGTCCCCCCTCCCGAATTATTGTACAGTGTCAGCTGCCTATTTGCATTATTCACCAGTGTCCCCCTTCCTGAATTATTGTACAGTGTCAGCTGCCTATTGGCATTATTCACCAGTGTCCACCCTCCTGAATTATTGTACAGTGTCAGCTGACTATTGGCATTATTGACGAGTGCCCTCTTACCAGAATTATTGTACAGTGTCAGCTGCCTATTGGCATTATTCACCAGCGCCCCCCCCCTCCTGAATTATTGTACAGTATCAGCTGCCTGTTGGCATCATTCACCAGTGTCCCCCCTCCCAAATGATTGTACAGTGTCAGCTGCCTGTTGGCATTATTCAATAGTGTCCCCCCCTCCCAAATTATTGTACAACATCGGCTGTCTGTTGGCATCATTCCCCAGTGTCCCCCCCATCCCAAAATTTTTTGTACAACATCAGCTGCCTGTTGGCATTATTCACCAGTGTCCCCCTCCACCCCCAGAATTATTGTACAGTGTCAGTTGCCTGTTGGCATTATTCCCCAGTGTCCCCCCTCCCGATCCCGAATGCTTGAAAAGGATTCTAAATGCAGCTAGCAAAGCTCTCAATTATTTGTCATCCTATATGCTATTGTATTTCAAGTCCAATTTTACCGGTGACCTTACTACTGTTTTCAAGTTCTTTTTATCTAGAACACGCTAATCTGCATGTCAACCATTGTGTTCTTAGTAACATGTTTGCGTTGATTTTGACTTTAGCAAGAGTTTATCATTCTAGATTACTTCCTGGTTTTACTGTATATAATTATACAAATATACATGTTTTCCTGCTTGTCCTCTTTTCCCCTCAGTCAGGTCATTTGATTCATTTTATCTGTGATTAAAATCAACATTCACTTGCAGTCCCCTAACCTTCAATCATCTTTATCTATGGCGCAACAGATGGACGTCTGAATCACAGAACAAACAAAACAGCTTGTCCATTGCCCGTTACCTTTGTTTTGTGATTCGTCCATATAGCGTCTGAGAATTCAGACAAATCCCTGATTGCCCAAAATTCTGACGAATTGCGATTCATTTGAAACTGAATGCAAAAGTCTAACAGCTTTCTTCTTTAATATATTGTTACAAAGAGCCAGTAGATAGTGTGTGTGTATATATATATATATATATATATATATATATACATACATACACACACACAACATGCTTTTACAGAAAGAGATATATCATCGCTCTAGCAGGAGAACGATTGCTAT